GTGAATCGCCGTGGATCATCGATCTTGAACGACAGAAGAGAAAACAATGTTTCTCTTCCTCTTCGTTTTATGAAAAAATCGGAGTTCTCCGGGAACTTGGGTGCCATAATCTGCCATATTAGAGTAAGATACCTCAGTTCAGAGCGTCTTCTAGTCCACTTTTTTTTTTATCTAGTCAAAATTGCACGAGGCGAGCTTCAAGTTCTCCAGCGAGGGAAAAAACGCGAATTCGAGGTGCGTCGAGTAGGCTTCCGTCAAGGTGCAGAAAGGGTTGAGATTGGGCAAAGGAGAGTTTTCTTATAATTTAATCGTACTCTTGTTGAATAAACTCAAACTCTTTGCGAGTTTAAGGGAAATATACTTGTTCGCGTAGATCGTGATCTTTTAGGAGATAGTGTGCCATGTTAGATACCTCTCCGTACTGTTTTTCTTTCGAAATGTAAACTCGCAAAGTAGTAAAGAAAGAGAACTATTAAAGACCCAAGAATTTACCGACAAAGGAAGTCTATCGTAAAAACACCACGTGGTTGCTCTGATTCTCTAATCAATCTGAAAGAAGCGGAATAAACGTGTTATTCACCGGAAACAGTTTCCAAACTCTATTTCTCCGAGTAATCTCCCTATTCTCAAAGCAACCACGTGTATGGAAACCTCGAGTGACGTTTGAAAAAATTCGAAAAATTCGGAGGAACCCGGAGAGAGCCAATTCCACACAGAGGAAGAGAAGATGGTCGAAGTGAAAGATCGATGATCGATTTAGAAAAAAAAAAGGGTATACAGGACTCGTCGTGTCCTCGTTGGTCGCTAAAAACACAAATACACACGCACACGTACACATACACACACTTCGAGACGAGCTAACAAGAAAACTCGAGCGAAAGGACGCGAAAGAACAGCTTCGTTTCTTAGAGAGAAATAAAATAAAAGACATCACACGTACACACGTATGCATACACACACACACACACACACATATAATATATACACAGAAAGTTAACACCGAAAGAAACAACACACAGAGAAATCTAATGAACAGAGGAGAAGAAACAAAATGTGGCATCGTGTGTCGATGGTGCCAAGTGATATATATTCTACGTTAAAATGAAACAATTGTATATCAGAGTGGACGCTGTTCTGCGCGAATCGGCGAAGAAGAGGAGCGGACGGGACACGGAGGCTGATCGTTCGCGAGAATTAGTGAACATGCATGTGTGTGCGCGCGTGTGTGTATGTGTGTGGCTTGTGTGTGTGAGAGAGAGAGAGAGATATGTAATACACAACAGAGACAAGAAATAAAGGTGTGTACGTTCGTGTGAGAGAGTGAATGAGAGTGAGAGGATACTTTTTGCGAACCGCACTTCGATATCGTACCGCAATTGTGCTGTGCTATTGTACATATTAAAATGAAAAAAGAAAAACTGAGAAGAGACTTTCGATGGCGGTGAAGATAGAAGGGAAGAACGAAGAGGGAAGAGATTTTGTTTCCTTTTATCGGGAAGATAGAAGATTCTTTTCGCGTTTCCCGATTGCACGCGAGCCATTCTTCTAAGGAGAATTTATTTTGCGTTTGGGGCGCAGAGAGTTGTGATTATTGCGGTGATTCCTGTGAGGGACGTTGCACCCTTCTCGAGGGTTAATTTGGAGGAGGGTTTGTTGCTTCATTTTTCATAGATTGTATTCTATTTTTTTGGATATTAGAAAATTCGAGGCTCGGAGGGGAAAAGAGGTTTTACTGTCGTGTACATTTGTTCCGAGTTTATTCGATACGACACGAGGAGGGACCCTTAACGTGGTATTCGAGACTTGAACGCAGAAGTTTGAGTCCTGAAACTTGAAGAAATTGATCACAGCGATGTAATGTTACTCCGAGGGTAAATATTTTTCGTTACAAGTTGCCGGAGATTGAGAAACAAATTGTCCAGCATTTTGGAATTCAGCATGACACGAGGGATTCAAAGCGTGGAGTTTCGAGGCTCGAGTGAAGATGTTTGCGAGTCCTCGAACTTGAAGAATTTGAGGGTAGAAATTTTCCAAAATTCGAGGCGTGAAAATTGAAGAACAAACTGTCGAAGCAGTCGGTGACATTTTTCGATTATTAATCCACAAATTCCGAATCTTGAAGGATGCAACGATTTCGTCACATAACAATGCAGCGTGTAGCAGAAGCGATCTTGTACTAGTCTATACTTACATTCCTTAGTTGAACCTAACCCAAACTGTTAGCGAAATTAGTGAAAGAGCCCGCGTTCTTTCGGTTCCTCGCGATCGACGTTCAGTTTCTTTTCGTTTCCACTGGAACTTCGACCTGGTCAGCATGCAACGAAACGAGAAAAAAAATACAGGGCGAACGACGAGTTTGAAGAAGAAAAAGAGAAAACAAGGGGTCGATCTTTCAGAAGAGCAGAAAAAAAGAAAGAGAGGCAAAATTGTATCACCGCTTAAATGAAGAGACACGAAACGGGGGTTTTGGCAGTGAGATGAGAGGAGAACTAATTGTACCAACAAAAAAAAAAAAAAAAAAGGAAAGGAAAATGGGAAATGAAGAAACGGAAGCGAGAGTCGCGGCCGTCGATTATAAGATCATATATAGTACAAAGTAAACATACATTATTGTAATAACGGTTTAAATTAACTATAAGGGGAGGCGTTGCTGTTTCACAAGGAATCTACGCGAGAAACCGTGATACATATGTGGACGAACGTTTTTCGATCAAGTGCTGTTTGTTTTCTTTTTCTTTGGGCTGGCGTGTGACGATCACTGGCGGGGTTAAAACGGAGAGAAATTATCGAAGGGTGAGGGCGTCGAGTTTTCGTGGAAGTTTCCTCGTCTGGCGTGGTCCTGTTTGTCAGATGCGATCGTGATAATGGAGATGAAGATTACGGAGGTAGAATCGGGGTGGGAGAATGATGTTCGTGCAAACGATGCGTCGAATTTATCGAAAAATCTCTTCGTAGTGACTTGATTCGAGAATGAAAAATCTCATTAGAAAGGAATAATTCAACGATCATAATGGTATATACTCGGAGAAAGAAATAAAAGTAGACCGTTCGACAGCAATAATAATTATCAAGTTGTCCTCGAAAGGAACGCAATGGAACGAAAATTCTTCCAAAAGTCGTTAAACGTGAAAAGAAACTTTTCGAACATCTCAGCATCCAGAATAAATCGTCGCATCGTCAGAAGAACAGAGCAGTGCACGGAAGCGGAGGGAATCGGAGTCGAGGGATGGAGCAGAGAACAGCTCGATCCAGGGAAATGTTTAGTAAAAATTAGGGGGAAAAAGAGGGATAAGAGGGAACTGTCTGTACGATAAACCTGTAAATACGCGTTTAATTGTGGTTACCGATCAATTGCGCTCACTGTTTGCGGTCGATTATTATTATTATTATTGTCATTATTACTATTATTGCTATTACCACCGTCGCATCGTTATTCACCAATTTTAACATCGTCACCTTTATCACTATTATAATAATAATAATAATTATACTACTATTATTATTACTATTATTATTATTATTATTATTATTGCGATTTTTATTATTGTAAACGTGGGGAGAGATAATTGATTACCAATACAAACGTACTGTAAACGCGTACTTTGTTGAAAGAGAGCGAGAGAGTGTGTGAGAGAGTGAGAGAATGCATGACATGGTTTCGACTAACCAAATACATAGAGCAATTATTCGACAAACTTTACAAAAAAAAAAAACAAAAAAATAAGAACGAGCGATAGAGGGAGAAAGAGAGATGGAGCCGATTTTCTGTCGTAACTAAAAGACAAAAGAAAAAAAAAAAAACGAACGAGAAAGAAACGTCACGTTCGGGAGTGAGTTGAAGATGAAGAAAACATTTCAGATCACGAGGGTGTTGTTAATAAATAGGGGGAAGGGGAATTGGGAGAAATTGGCGGAACCGAAGGACATACGCACGCTAGTAGATTTAAATACACTCGCGCGGTAAAACGATAAAGCAGTAAAATGAATGAAAACGGAAGAACCCGCTGAGAGGAAGAAAAAAGAAAACGTTAAGCAAGAAC